CCACAAGAGCTGCCAAACAATCCAGTGTTTACCGTCATTAAGAAATCCTTGGAGGACCTGACTAAAAGCAGGGGCTTTTCTTATTCTTCCCTGACACCCAAAGGCTAAGGAAGAAATAGTGAGATGGCTAATGTCAAACTTTAGAAAGCAAAATGGCAATGGAACTAAATGGGGAAAGAAATCTAAAAAACGTATACATTTAAAAAAATGATCGGAACTTTGTGACAAATTGAAATAGATCAGAGAGAGAGAGAGAGAGAGAGAGAGAGAGAGAGAGAGAGAGAGAGAGAGAGAGAGAGAGAGTGTCAGAGAAGAGCCCAAGCTCCAGCATCCACTGACCTTCTCAGATGTTCTCAAATGGATGGATGGCAGCATCCTTCCTCCTAACTCCTTCCTATTGCCCACCTTTGTTTTTCTGCACTATACTAACCAGTATCTGGCAAACTACAGAATGGTTACAGCTAAAGAACCAGGAAAGATGAGGCTTGAGCTGAGGAAGAAATGAAAGGACAGAGAGCCAGGTAGAGGGATGTACAACAGTTTGTCAACAGGAGAGCACAGGTAAGCAGGATGCCAGACACAAGTCACCATGGCAGGCCCGTGGGAAGCGGAGGTGTAATCACTCATGCATGAGCACTCTAGTCACTTTGAAATGAGAGGGAAGGCTTTGGATGATTTATGGGGTGGGTCAGGTAGAATACCACTCAGAAGCTTAAAGGGATTAAAGAAAACTGGAGTATGTATTGAACATCAAAAATTCAGATTGGTCAGATAATGTGTGTGCATTTATTTATAAAGGTCTAAAAATAAGTATACATATAACTTGTGTGTGTGTGTGTGTGAGAGAGAGAGAGAGAGAGAGAGAGAGAGAGAGAGAGAGAGTTTATCCTCATAATAACATTAGGAAACAGGTATTATAAATCAATTTACAGATATGGCAGTTGTGATAATCGCATAAGAGTAAATAAGTCAGGGTCATCTAGCACCCACTGCCTCAAAGTCTTTTATTGCCATCAGAGGTTTCCATTCTTCTATCAACTGTCTTAATGAAACCCGTATCTCCTTTATACCCATTATTGCAACTGAAGTTACATAATTTTCTATGAATGTTGGTTTAAAAGCTGGCTTCTGTGGTATATACTGAGTTCTAAGAATGTGTAAGCCATATACCTTGTACGTGCTAATGACCTAGAAAAAAATGGAGCTTTTATTTTTGTCCTTGGAAAAAGAGCTACAAAATGGTATGAACTATTTGGGAGAGTAAGCGGGCAGCCTCTCTGACTTTAAATGTGTAGATTCTGCTACTCACCAGTATCACAGGAATCTACACAACAGAAAAGGAAAACAGGTGCAGAGATGCAACAGGCTACACCAGGCTTCATACTTGAGCTTTCTCTGCTTTCATAAAGTAACACTTAAATTGTGATATGCCAGAGAAAGTGTATACACATATTGTCATACATCTATCTTTGAATCAAATCTGTGTCTAGATAGAAAACAAAATGGCCAAGATTTGATGCACAGAAAGTTGGTAGTTACCTCGGGAAAATCTTAATGAATGCAAACCAGAGAAAACAAATAAAAAAAAAAGCAGGCCTTTGTATTTAAGACAAGAGATAAACACAAAGCTTAAATCACACAGAAGGGAAAAACACATAACTATGTGTATTGAATTGTGTTGATTCATAATAAAATTCTACTTGTGTATTACATTATCCTCTGAATAAAAAATAATGATTTGGTCAAATCTGAAACAATATGCTGCTTAAAACACACACACACACACACACACACACACACACACACAGACACACACACACACACACACAATACCCAGGATACAAAGTGATCCACGGGGAAATGACTAGTGATTCAAATTTTCAAAATTTGTTACAGCTGTCACACCAACGATCTGCAGGTTTGATACTATGACTTTCATGTTTTAGATCTAGCGATCTAAAGGACCTGGAACCCTCACCTCAGCACGCCTTGTACCTAGACTAAACAGACACTGCCAGAAACTCTAAGAAAGCAAGTAACGTCCAAAAGCCTACATACTAACATACCAAAGTACATTGAGTTACCATGCAATTTACGAGAATTGACTGATACTAGCTAACAATACCCCCTGTAAACAGTCTGCTACATCATACATATCTGCAAACTTTAATACTATGGTGAGGGTGGGCCTGTCTGTCTACAGGGGTACTACTCATTCCACACAGAATTCTGTTGTTCGGAAGCTACCTGAGAGACAAGTATTTGCTCTCTTTCCCAAAGCACTATCATGTAAGTAATTAAAAAAAGAAAGGAAAAAGAAGCCTCGCACATAAGGTTCCAACAGTTTTACATAAGGTGCAGTCATTTGTAAAGATAGCTTTCTTTTGTATGTTCAAACAGCTGGAAGGCTAGGTGGTCCACTAGAGGTGGACAGAGCACACATACTCCCTAATTTCTTTTTAAAGTGATGACTATAAAGTTTTATTACTCTTTAACTTGCAAAGAAATACTTTGGCAGTTGGCAGCTCAAGTAAGTGGTGGGAAGTCCCTGAAACAGAAAATCAGATAACTGGTTGGAAGTGACTCACTTTAAATGAAGTGCTTAGCCAACTCCCATAAGGTAATAACATCATGACCTTTTTCTGCTTCCTGTGCTGGGATTTGAATGGGCTAGGCAAGTACTCAAGATCACTCACCTGCCCGCCCTTTCTACTTCATTTCATACAGTGCAGTTACAACTAGAAAACTCCAGCCAAGTGTGCTCATCCTACAGGTAAGTGACACAAGTGACAGTAGTCTACACTGTAGCCCCACTCAGGAGCCAACTTATTTGTTTGTTTGTTTGTTTGACACAGGTAGCTTTGGAGCCTGTTCTAGAACTCTCTCTGTAGACCAGGCTGGCCTCAAACTCACAGAGATCCCTCTGCCTCTGCCTCTAGAGTGCTGGGGTTAAATGTGTGTGCCGCCAGGAGCGGCAGGAGCCAACTTAGCTGTTGAGTGCCTTGATCAGAAAATCTAGTAATGAAATGAGAGTTGTGATACCGTTTGTTGTTGTTTGAGTGGATGGTCAAGTACTTGGGCCTGATTATCAAAGTGTCCTGCCACATAGGAATCTTGAAGGGCCATTAATGGAAAACATGTGGATTACTGTACCAAAGACACCTAATTGCAAAAGTACCAGGTCTGCTACTAGCCATGGTACATTTGCTCTGAAAGTGTTATTACATTTACTTTGCAGGATCCTGGTGAGGATTAAAAGAACATGTCCCACACTCTCCTTACAGTAACTAGGAGCCGATTATTGGTGATTTACCAGATTCTACCAGTCCAAAGACTTGGTGCACAAGCTGACAATACCCAGACCCCTCACAAAAGCAGAACTTGAAACAGCCTGTGGCAACCTGCCAGGAAACCAAAACTTCAAGTTCACCTACAGCCAGGCTGTGCTAAGAGCCTCCATCCAGGGCATCCCGAGCTCCTACCCTCCTTTTCCTCGGCAATGCTGTTAGTCCTCTTCAGGGGGCAATAATGATTCTCAATTTACTATCTTTGTTTTTCTCCTTTGGTTTGTTTGATTTGTTCCCACACTGGCCAGTTTGTCTTCCACAGTAACAGAGGCTTAGCCAGCACTGTCAGTGGAATACAGACTATATATGCAGCCTGTCCATAAGACTGTTTTCTAGCCAAGGGACTAAAGCTGAATGTGAAATACAATTCTAAGATTTGGATAAATATAATTGATTTCATCACTACAGTGTGCCTGTGAATTATATTTTAGAGAAAGTGGTGCAGAGAAATAACATACTTTCATTCAGTGGTGTCTATTACTGTAACTGACCCACAAACCCAATTATTATGCTTTTAAGAAAAAACACTAATTAGCTTTTCAGTCAAAGTGACACTCAAATTCTCTGAGGAATCCTCTCAGGTCATCTTCTAAGCTGCTCTTAGATTTATTTTCTGTGTGTGTGTGTGTGTGTGTGTGTGTGTGTGTGTGTGTATGCGTGCACACACACACATGTGAATGTGTGCACATGCACAAGGATTGTGTCTTTATGTGTAGATATGTGCGCCTGGGTGTGCATGTGTAAAAGCCAGAGGCTAATGTCTTCCCCGATTGTTCCCTATCTTACATTTGAGACAGGGTCTTCTTTCACTGAACCTAGAATTCATTATTTAGCTCTACTGCCTGGCCAGTGAGTTCCAAGAACCCCTCTGTCACAACTCCAGAGAGCTTCGATAACAGGTACCCATATTGCACCTCGTTTTTTACATGGGTTCTAGAGACCTGCTCTCAGCTCTTCATCCCGAGGCGGCAAGCCCTTTAACAATTGAGCCATCTCTCCGCCTGGGAATTTCTTTCTTCTTTTCTTTCCCTGAGGTCGGGAGACAAAGGCTCAAGGATACTTTGCTCAAGAGTATGAAACACTCGAACTTCAGAAAAAAAGTCTCTAAGCCCATCTCAAAAGTGATTCAGGTGCGTTTAGAAATGTAAGACAGGGTGAGACACCATGTGGTTGCTGGGAATTGAACTCAGGACCTCTGGAAGAGCAGTCAGTGCTATTAACCTCTGAGCTATCTCACCCTGAACTCTTAGGGGAGGGTCTAGGCCCGGCCCTGGATGAAATGACAGACTATGGACACCCCCCATGGAGGGCCTCACCCTCCCTTGGGAAATGAGGGGGTACTTGGGGGGGTTGCTGGGAGGGTGTGGGAGGAGGGGAGGGAAAGGGAGAGGGACCTGGGATTGACATGTGAAGCAACCTTGTTTCTAATTTAAATATAAAAATTAAAAAAAAGAAAATTACAAACACACACACACACATACACACACACACACTAAGAAATGTAAGACAACTAGGGTGAACTCTGCTAACTTCATAACCATTTCCATATTTTCCACCACCATATGCTATTTCAGTGAGGTCCTTAAAATAACTATCATGGTGTACATTTCATAGACAACTTTGTCAGAAAGACAAACAAAGGAACAAACTCACCTTTATCATTCTGGAGAGGTCACCAGCATCTGCTAATTCCAAAACTATGTTCAGTTCATTATCTTCGATAAACGATGCATAATATTTAATAACATTTGGATGATTGAGTTGCTAATGAAAAAAGTGAAAATCAAAAACTTTTATTTTAAATTCCAGAATCATGTAAAGTTTTTAATGATTTTAATTTAGCTATGGCAACTCATTTTTAAATTGCAAATATCTTGACAGCATATTTTTATTATAGACAATTTTAAAACACATAATTATTCAAAGTAAAAGTATATATGAATAAATTTATTTTAATATTTTATTAGCTATAATAAATGATATACTCAAGATTTTTAAGTACTGTTATGACTAGCAGGCATATAAATAAATGCAGTAAGTGAATGGCAAGGTAGAATTGAATCATTAAATGCTCAAAATTATATCCTTCAAAATGAGAACTGTGATACAAGAACATTCAACTGTAAAAGCATCTCTTTATACTCCTACTTTTAAAATTAGAGCTGTTCCAATATAGCTAGACTGCTCAAAACCACAATTAACATCCACTAATCAGTACCTAAATACTGTTTTTACATCAAGAAATCTAAATATGTATCAAGAAACATAAATTTGTGAAACCTATCTATGTAAGTTTACCAATATCATTCCTAAGGAACAATCTCTCTCCTTGTAGAAATATACACAGCAATCTATCCAAAAAATTTACAATTTTTGTGTTCCAACTTTAAACAAGTTAACACAAGACAATTTCTCAAAGAGAAATTCTCATAAATTACATATGATATTCTTTTTTCTTCTGTGCTGTTCATAGTGATGCTATTTCTATTTTTAAAAGTTGTGTGTGTGTGTGTGTGTGTGTGTGTGTAAAATGGTTACTTCAAATGCAAAGAGTGAGAAAGCATAGTTTTGAAATACTTTGGTTAGAACTGATACATTTTAAGAACATACACAGAGGTATAAAACACCAAGTTTTTCCTTTTCTCTAAGGAGAAGCTCCTGCTTCATCGTCCAGGCTGGCCTGGACTCAGGTTCTGTCTGTCTTAGCCTCCCTCCCAGGTGTTGGTTTACAAATGTGGGCCATCATACCTGACTGAAAACCAATAAATATAGCAGAAACAATTCTGTACAAGAACATCACTAACAATGAAATTCTGTCTAGGTTACTGGAACCTCAGCACACTCTCAGGCGGATAAGGAGCTGAATGTTAATTCCTGGCACACTGTCTATATTCACATTGCCTAAGTCTGTAGAAGTGATTTAAAAAGGTTTATAAATGTGAAGCACCTGGGTTAGTCCAGGCTCTCATTATGACACATGACACCAATATGCACTTACATCACTTAGCCAGTAGGATGGGCTTACACAGAATCTTCTATAAAATTTTTTCCCAGTGTTTTAGACCTGTGTATCCATCTGTTCTGATTTAATTATTTTACCATAAATCAAAATTATATTCTCCAAAACATACATACTCTTAATTTATGCAGTTACTTAAAACCAGTGTGTCATCAAGCAAGCCTTAAAGATTGTTTTACTTAGAAATGTGACATTTTGATAAGTAATTTTATCAACAAGATCAGAAATATTAATAAATATCCCATAGTTCATTATTTACCTTAAGGAGATCTATTTCTTTGATACAGTCAGCACGTGCTTTGGCATCCATTAAATCAAATATCTAAAAATGAAGTTTAGAATCATTTAATAAAATAGTGATCTGTTCTATAGCCTAACATGTAAATTCATAATAACACACACACACTCTCTCTCTGTGTGTGTGTGTGTGTATATATACACACATACACATACACACACACACATGATGGGGGAAGTCCTTCCGTGTATATGTTTGTCTTATTGGTTGATAAATAAAGTACTGTTGGCCAATATGGAAGCAAGATAGGTGGGACTAGGAATCGAGGAGGATTCTAGGAAATGTAGTCAAGAGCAGAGAGTCACCATGTGATCCCAGGAGGAGAGGACGCACAAGCCTGGTGTTTTCAGTAAGATAAGACCTTATAGAAATATTTATTAGTAGTCATGGGTTAATACTTAAGACAGAACTAGCCAAAGAGAAGCCCTGGACATTGGCTGACAGCATTGTAACTAATAGAGTCTCTGTGTGTTATTTTGGGGGCTAAAGCAGCAACGGGACCCAGGCAGGAATCCCATAACACACACACACACACACACACACACACACACACACACACACACACACAAAACACACACACACACACACACATACACACAGAGGTGAAACTTTATTTGCAGTTATTTACTGTGAAGGTTCATAAGAACTTTACCTTATGTTAACACAAAACAACAACAAAAACCCTAGATGCTTTTCCTCCAAAGGCAAATAGCTGGTCATATACGGGCACTCACGTCTGTTGCTCAAATGACCAGGATGGAGGTGATGATCAATTGGATAATGTAATAAAATAAACTATCAATGTGCATTGAACAGTTAACACATACTGAGTGTATTTCATAAACTATTCCATCTAATTCTCATGTAACCAGTACAAAGATAATTGCATTCCCATGCTATAGATGAAGAAAAGGATGCTTTCAAAAATTAAAAGACTGCTGAAGGGTCACACAGCTCATCAGTGAGGCAAGAGGCATTTATTGTACGTTCCACTGCCATTGTAGATCCAAACCACTACTCTGATTTACAAATAGTTTCTAGTGAGTTCGATCTGTATTCCTGACAGGGATAGTACAGCACAAAGGGGTGATGACTGATCTTCGAAGACAGGGGTGGCAAAATTTCATCATTTTAAATGCCAAGTACAGGTACACATAAACACATAATCACATACACTATGTGTTGTCATTAAACTTTCAGGAAAAGAGATTAGGAAGTTTTAAAAGGTTCATTGGGATACAGTAATGAAGGAAAGGGGTAAGCAATCCCACAAAAACAAATAACCAAAGGATGTTCCTGTATCTTCGAAAATAACAAATTTCAAGGTACTAGGTATGTAGAAAACAATGTTTTTCAAATATTAGTTATTACACTGCAAGTGGATTACATACTATTCATTTAATATTAATGATTTTGGTTTTTTTTTTTGTTTTTGGTTTTTTGGTTTTTCAAGCCAGGGCTTCTCTGTATTGTTTTGGAGGCTGTCCTGGAACTTGCTCTGTAGACCAGGCTGGCCTCAAACTCACAGAGATCCTCCTGCCTCTGCCTCCCGAGTGCTGAGATTAAAGGTGTGCGCCACCAACGCCTGGCAATATTAATGATATTTTAAGTCAACAATTTGAATTAACTCCTGCTACTTTAGATAGTCAGGTACATGTGTAGCTTAAAGTAGTGGGGGCAATCAAAAATTATTTTGTTTTGTTTTCAAGACAGGGTTTCTCTGTGCAGCCTTGGCTGTCCTAGAACTCGGCTCTGTAGACCAGGCTCACCTTGAAATCACAGGGACCTACCTGGCTCTGCCTTCCAAGTACTGGGATTAAAGGCATGTGCCACCATCGGTCAGATCCAAATCTTTTTCATTAGGGAAAGAACTCTGACAGCTCCCTGCAGGTGTTACCCTCTTTACCACAGCTTCCTACAGGCAATGCTGGCTGCAAGTCAGAGACAGGGATGGAGGCATGGGGCTTGTAGTAATACAATTACAGTCATACAAGGAGTAACACTGAGACAGAGACTTGAAGCCTGGGTCTTTTGGCTAGCTACCCAGCCAGTGATTTCTCCCATTGTCCTGGCCTGGTTTGAATTCTAACACTCTAGATAACCACTAAACACCAAAGTGTGTGTGCAAAGTGCCATATCAGAAACCTAAAAAGAGGATCCCCATGTGGGAAAAGGATAACATTAAAAGAAAAAAAAAGAAACAACAACAACAAAAAGACAAAACAAACAAACAAAAAAAACTATTAGAAGCTTTCACCAGCCAGAATCAAAGACATCTGACTCATAGACATGAATCTCCAATGAGGGCCTATATTAAGAGGCAACTTTTAATAGATTTCCTTCTGAATAGTTAAAGATGACAAGGATCTGATTTTCTTATATTCAAATAAAGCCAATATAATAGAACAGTGATCACTAGAGGCTAAGAAGAGGGTGGGATTGGATAATGTTGCATAACAGGTGGAGGTTCGGAATGTTCCATCGTACACATTGTAGGATGAAGACTATACATAACTTACTATATATTTAATTTTAAGGAGGAACTAAGAGAGAGGTGTTTGTAACTCCCCAAGAAAGAGAAATGACAGTAATTATGCTGGTTTGATCACCACCCATTACACCCATGTAGTAAATTATCAATGTATGCCATAAAGATTTACAATTAATTAAAATTTTAAGACAAACATAACATTCATACACTTACTAGACTAAAGAGCTGAAGCTCAGCCCCTTCCACTTACTATATCGACTAATAGACTTTTTATAGTAAAGACAGGAGATGAGAGGAGGAAAAAGTGGAGGGTGGAAAGGTATTTGTCAGTTGTTAAGTTACTCACTAGAGTGCATCTCTCATTGTTGGATGGGAGTCCGAAGCCCATTTGTATTCCCGGAATAAATATTGATCTACTACCCAAGGCTCAATAGATTACCTAGGCCTCCTCACTGACACTCGCATTCAGGGGGTCTTGATCAGTCCCATGCTGGATCCAACAATGAGAGATGCACTCTCCCCCTGAACTCTTGAGGGAGGGTCTAGGCTTTGCCCTGGATGAAATGACAGACTATGGACACCCCCATGGAGGGCACCCATGTTAGTTGGTTCACAACTGCCTGAGACCCCAGTTCCAGGGAAATCTGACTACTTTGATCTTTAGGGGCATCTGCATTCATACACACACACAATTTGCATAATTGGAAACAATAAAAATTTTAAAAAATCAAGAAATCCTCAACTGTAGTTTTAAGTCAGTCTGGGATATGTTAGACCTTTGTCCATAAAAATTATATATATTATTTTATATATAAGCCTATAAATTACAATATCTTAAAATTATATATGTATATACATACCCATATATAAACACACATGTATCTTAAAATATGTATGTATATACATACTCACACACACACACACACACACACACACACACACACATACAAATGAGTACCAAGAGAAATGTCAAGTTCTTGCCTAATCATGAATGTTGATGGCATTCTTAGAACCACTGGCCCTAAGACTTGAGATAAATGAACCTTCTTAGAAAAGTCAGTATGTTGGGTAACTATGGAAAACCTGCCTAAGAGGAAGAGAAAGGGGAATGGTGGCCTCGGTGATTAAAAAGATCTAAACACACACAAACCCAGAGACTCACAGAAATAATCTCAATAGCCAACGCCTCTTAGACAGGAGAATATTTTAAAAACAAGAGCCTGAAGATGAGAAGCACAAGGGCTTTAGAAAATCATACACACACACACACATGTGCATGCTACATGAAAACCATAAATATTTAGCTCACATTATGTTTTGGGCCAATGTAGAATTATGAATTGAGTTTGTTTTTGTTTTTTAACTAACTATGAAAGTATCATAGTTCTTTAAACCCTAGGGAAAATGCTCACTGTTGGCACATTTCATGTGAAAACACTTTCTGAACCAAATATATTTACAAATACATTTAACTGGAAATGCGTATCTTATCTTTCTTTAGTCAACATGTCAAGACAAAAATAAAGGCTGAATCTTTGGAATAAGTCATTCCTACCACTGATTCAAAGCCACCTGGTGATTTAATGAGCAAGACAGGAAAAAAAAGATATGGGGTTTTGTAAAACAAAAAAGGACTTATTACATGACAGGCATATGTACAAGGAAGGCTTCAGGAGGCATTACTTTCATTTCAAGGTTTCTTTGGGCTTCAAAACTTATTTTCTTCTGGTTAGAGCCAGTTATTTTTTGTGGTTAAGTAAGTAAAGGCTGATGAATTCTTGATATTATCTGAATCATTTTTAAAAGCATTTCTGTCATCTTCAAATTTTACCCAAATTACTCGTAACTTACAAAACTTAAAAGTTAACATCAGTTCATCTTCAAATATAATCATTCATATAACTTAATAGAAACATCTCTAAAAAAGCGTGTATTGAACTATTATGAAATAACACATACAATGTAGCAAAGATACACACACATACACACACACACATACACACACACACACACATATCAGGTGTGACACATACATGTGTACCCATATACAAAGAGTGTAAATATCCCACTTTAAACTTCTCATATGGAAATCAGCTCCTGGGCCCTACTACTTTTAAGGGCCTGAATAAATGATTTTAGTAGCTTGTCCCTACACTGAGTAGCCTTGTCTTCCTTGTGACAAATCCTCATTCCTCCTTCAGTCCTCACACTTGAAGATGCCTCAGTTGTTCCCATGTTTTGTCCCATTTAACCGAATGTCAGAAGAAGGCTTCCATCTCTTTATTCAAGCTAGTCAATGGCCAGCCAGAACCCCCAGCCTTCACTGGGTAGGAGAAAAAAGGAGAGCCTCAATAAGCCCCCTCTACAAAAGCTTTCTACAGAGTGTAACCGTGATGGGTGGAAGGTGCTGAGCACAGTGAATCTGGCACAAGCTCTCCTCCAATGCTGGAAACCATGCTTTCCATAACACCATTTCCTACTCTAGCTTATCAGCCTGTTTCTCTAACCACAACATCAACATACCCAGACCAGA